TCAGCTCACTGCAACCTCTGTCTCCCAGGTTCAAGCAATTCTCCGGCCTCAGTCTCCTGAGTAGCTGGGATTACAGGCACGTGCCACCACGTCTGGCTAATTTTTGTATTTTTAGTAAAGGTGGGGTTTTACCATGTTGGCCAGGCTGTTCTCAAACTCCTGACCCCAAGGGATCCACCTGCCTCAGCCTCCCAAAGTGCTAGGATTACAGGTGTGAGCCACTGCACCCAGTCAACCAATATTCTTAAAGCAATACATTTTTCACTTTGATCTTTTCCAGCTCCTTGAAGCTACATAAGAGTCTTTAAAATATGTATTTCACCTAAATATTTCTTGGTTGTGGTGTTGAAAGGCCCCATGGCTCCTGTTTCTCACACAATAATCACCCATACCTCCATAGCTAGCATGTCCTGAGGACACATCCGTGCATGAGCACACATGTCACATGCTAAGGAGGTTCCCAACAGACGGGTACACTATGATAGAGTTTCTTCTAATGGGAAAGACCTGAAAACCCATCATTCACAAGTAAAAGAATCTCAGAATGTACTGGAGACAAGACCATAAAAACACAAAGTCCATTCTAAACCCAATCTTGAGATTCCTTTGCTTCAAGTATTTGACTGAAATCAAATACAAACTACACTTTCTGAAATACTCAAAACATTCTCCCCTTTTCTTCTTTAAAATTAAGGTCTTCATATGCATCTTCTTCAATCTGACTTGTTTAAAAATACTCAAGTGAGAGAAAATGATAAAGCAAATGGGGCAAAATGAAAAAAAATTGGTAAAACTGAGTAAGGGTATACAGAATTTCTTGTATCATTTTTGCAACTTTTCCATACATTTAAAAAACTGTAATAAAATCAACAGCCACCAAAAAATAGAGTATTGACAACAGAAGTTCTCTCATAGGGCTGTTTCAAGTTTCAAACAATTCACATACTCAGTTAATGCTGGACACCTAGTAAACACTCAGTAATTGTTAATTATTTTTTTAAATGAGTGGATCAGTTGGGCACGGTGGCTTACGCCTGTAATCCTAATAACACTTTGGGAGATCACTTGAGGTCAAGAGTTCGAGGTCAGAAGTTTGAGAGCAGCCTGGCCAACAAGGTGAAACTCCGTCTCTACTAAAAATATAAAAACTTGTCTGGGTGTGGTGGTGGGTACCTGTAATCCCATCTACTAGGGAGGCTGTGGCAGAAGAATCACTTGAACCTGGGAGGCGGAAGTTGTAGTGAGCCAAGATGGCGTCACTGCACTCCAGCCTAAGCTACAGAGCAGTACTCCATCTCAAAAAAAAAAAAAAAGACTGGATCAATTTACTTAACCAGTTAAAGTATAGGGGAGCCAGGCACAGTGGCTCACACCTGTAATACCAGCACTTCGGGAGGTTAAGGTGGGCGGATCGCTTGACCCCAGGAGTTCGAGACAAGCCTGGGCAACATGGTAAAACCTTGTCTCTACAAAAAATACAAAAATTATCCAGGTGTGATGGCGCATATCTGTAGTCCCAGAGAGGTACAGGCTGCAGTGAGCTGACATGGCGCCACTGCACTCGCCTGGGTGAAAGAGCAAGATACTGTCTCAAAAATAATAATAACAATAATAATGTATGGGGGAATTGGTATATCACTTAGGCACACATAAAGAGAAAATAGTAAAAAATTAGTGAGGGTATAAACAGGTATTGCTTATGGATATTTGCACTGAAATCTGAAGTCAGAAAAAAATTCATTTTTCTTCAAACAACAATAATCTTTCAACTGTAAACATGTCATAGTATACAACAAGTCCAGGGCAGTTTTCTGGATGCATAATCTGCAATGCAATAAGGCATTTTTTACTGGTGTGGGGTTGTTTTGTAAATACAATTTTGGAATGAAAAAATAGAAGCATGCAAGAACCTCGATGTAATCTTTACATTATACATAATCATTATGGTGTTTACCCCAGGTTCCCCATCTAGAAAGGAACTGATAAAAGGTTAGTAACAGGACTACAGGAATAATTTTTAAAGATTGGCAAACAAGACTTGTTAAGTGTTGAATCTGAAGAAGAGCATGGTGAGGGAGAACTTCACAACAGGCAACCAGAGGTAAAACCAAAGCACAGACTCTGCTGGCAAAATGCAAAGGTTGGAATCCCATCCCACCACTTAGAACTCTAACTTTTGAACTAAAATAAAGCTTAAATGTATCACTGGGTTACTATTTAACAAAATATTATTTTGTATTATTTGTATTATTTGTAATATAAGATAATTAACTACCAAATAAATAGTTGCAGGAATGTCTGAGTATAACCTTGGACGAACCATTTAATCTCAAGGACACTCTATTTCATCACCTGTAAAATGAGAATAGTAATAATACCTACCTCATAGGATTGCCATTGAGGAGTATACAAGTTACAATTTGCAGTGCTTACAGAAGAATCTGGCACAAAAGCATCATATGTGTGCTGGTTACTATTATTAAGTTTATGAAGAACTAAGGTCTTATAAATACAAAAGTACACAGGTTTTTTACTCAAAAATTGAGAATGGGGCAAGAGGAAACAAACAAATATATAGCATTAAGCATGTGCTGGTTAGAGAGAAGGCAGACTCTCCTGATAGATAAATTATTAAATGCTTGCAAAGATTATCTAGAGGTTACCACATTACTGCTGAAGATTTGTTTTAAAAAATAGGATAAATTTTTATCTACCTGGAATTATTTAAGTGGGATATTGACTGGAGTTGCTGGATAAACTAGAGGTCCTTTCAAGGTCTCTTCCCATCCAAAGAATCTACAATTAACCAGGAAAACATTTAATTATGTATAACCTAATAAATCTAAAAATATAAATTTAAAAGCTTTTGCTTAGCAAATAAGATTATAACCAAAATAAAGTTAAATCGGGTAGAACTGTACTTGACGAACAAATGAAAATAAAGCTTAAATTTATCATTGGAGTCCTTATTGATAAACAGCATTATCTCAATTTTTAAAAATCCATTTTCAGTTTTAGAAATAGCGACTGAGAAATAACCATTGACAATGAGGCTCTGGTTTAGCACACTAAGGCCGTTGCATACAGAAACAAAAGGCAGGACTCACTCTTTCCCTTGGCTGATCTTACAGTTTATATTTTCTTCTTTACCAATATCAAATAAGTCTATAATCGTTTATATAAAGATACTGAGCATAAAACAATTACAATTACATTATAAACATGGCAATACCATACAGAGTACATCCTACTACTAATGCCAGCCCAAACACATCTATAAAGAGAATATGCACACACATCTCATTGAAACAAGTGCCTCATATTAAAGTTACTCTTCATCTTGAAAGTCAACGTATCAAACTAATCCTTTTAAAATGTAGTGGCAAAAATAGTAATTTTTACCAAAATCCTCTGTTAAATTGCTAAATACATCTAGTCACCTTGAACACTTGCTTAATACAATCCAGGAAACAAACCATAAACTAAATACTATGCCACTAACACAGTAGTTGAATGTAGAAAGTTTTCTAAATTATTCATATACATTAATAACCATTGTTGCTCAAATCCACAAATCAAAATATAATCTTTGTTAACTATTATGAATGTCATAAACCTAATCTTTGCTCTTTATACAAACACCAGCAAAAGAGTGTCAATCCAAAATTTATACAACTTTGAAAAAAAAAAGTCTCTTTGTGCATCTGAGTGTACATAATGAAATAACCCAACAAGATTCTCAACAACTGTTTGCATTTTTCTCTAAGTAAATTATATGCTATCCTTTGGCACCATCAAATGCAAAACAAATATTCATTCATATTCTTAGCTAAATGTAAAAGCTTCTGAATAAAATCATTAAAACAAAATTCTAAGAATAATTCAAATTTTGCCCCAAATTTCTTATCTTCCTTTTCATTTCTAAAGGTGTCTTAAAAATCAAAAGCTTCTAGAAAATTAGTATTAATCTGGCCTTCTTTATTCACAATCATAAAACACGAAAGGCAGTGGAGCTGTCCAAAGACCTAGCACGCAGTATTATCTTGTAGAGATGTTTTTCCATCAAAATTACTCATAAATTTATTTACCCTAAAAAATAAGTCTGCCACTCTAAAATCCTCCACTACTCTACAATTCTCTCTTTCTTTATTCCATTTTGTTAAATGGGTGGGTTACCAACTACAGCATGAAACGTCCCACACAAAGCTAAAGGCAGCTCAGGAACTCAAAGCCCTCAGCTCTGATTTAAATCTCTCCCCCAGTAAACTTCCTTGGTTGGTTATTTGCCTTTCTCTGAAATGACTTCTTAACATTCTCCAGCCACTGAAAACGATAAGCAGAAACCTGGTTGATTAATCATCTTTCTCTGTCCCAACAACAGTGTGTTCTCCGTGGAAAATGAAAATGCTGTCCATAAAACACAGTCCAGCACTTGTCAGGTACAGCACTCCTACAACACCAGAACTATCACATCACTCGAGTACACTCTAAATAAGCACACCCTTTCCCCGCATTATCACAACACTAGTGAAATGCAGAGGTTTTCAACACCCAGAGTTTACGCTTTATCACCCATACAAGAAAAAAATCAAATCAAAATGAGTCTCATTTCTTCAAAGTGGACAGGAAACTCAAATCAAAAGCAATGAAGGGTGGAAGCGGACTCAAGATTCCTTGAAGAGAGAAAGAGGTTTCTGGAATTTCCTACTTTCAGGGACAAAAGGATTCACAGTTTCAACACACAGTTCTCTCCTCAACAAAGAATTCCTTTCCTGCACCCCCCACCTCTGCCCTTACTTTTTAGTCTTTACCCCTGTCTCTAGGTCCCCTTTCACTCACCATGGTTCCTTCTCTTCTGCACCAAAGGCTCTCTTACACTTGATCTTTCACTATAGCATTTCTGCCCTGACCCTTGTAGACCTTCTGGAGCAACTCCCCACAACACGCACATTCGATTCCCACCCCCATGCAGTCTACCCCAGTTCTACATTCATCAGGACTCCCCGAGCTTCCCTTAGCCCCCTTCTCTTCCCTTACTCCCCATCTCATCCTTTAAATACTGGGGCCCATCTCTTCCTGCTCCTCTCACCATTTGTTTTTAGCCTTGTCTCTTCACCTCACTGTTTTCACCTTGGATCTTGCTGAACCTCTACAATTAACGTAATTCCCCAGTTATCCTGGTTCCAGATGGCCATCACTTCTTACACCCTAACTCTAGTCTCCTTTCAGCTTTTCTGCTCCCAGAATTGTCCTACAGACACCCATCTCTTATCTGTTTCCCTTGGCCCTTCCACCACACTCTTATTCCGGACTCCACCTGGTTCCAATCCAGGTCTCATTTGCCCCCCCTCGCTTTACAGAATTTACATCCATCGCCCACCCACTAACCCATTCCTTTCTCAGAACCTCGCCAGCAGTTCCCACCACACCGCTGGTCCTAGTCCTTCAGCTCATCTCGCTCCGCACTAGTTCACACCCTTGTCACGTCTGGCTCTTAATCACTCTCTCTTTCCTACTCCCAACTATTACCCCAGCTCTGCCCCTCCTTGTCTTCCACTTCCAACACTTACCCCGGTACCCCTCACCCCAACACCACCCCCTACGAAGCTTTCTCCTTCAAACCCCTGATCTTACACCTAACCCCACGATCCCTTTTCCCAGCCGTAACCTCATTCCCTGCCCGGCTTCCTTAACGCCCACCACCCTGGCTTTTGCCTCCTTCCTACCTCCTTGGCTGGCTTTTTCTCACTCCTCCTCTCCCTGGCTTCTAACCCTTTCTCCCCTTAATCCTCCTCATCTCATTCTCAACCCGGTTCCCCCCATCGCCCCCAAGCCTTCCTTTCCCTCTCCCTTCAAGGCTTTTGCCCCAACCCAGCCGTCGCCCACCCCGCCAAAATAAGACGCCGGAGCGCCCCGACTCCCGGCTCTCGCTTCCCGCCGCCCCCG